CTGCTGCTGCTGCTACCACCACCACCCCTACGCCTATTCCTACTCCGACTCCTACTCCGACTCCTACTCCTAATCCTACTTCTACGACGACGACGACGACTACTACCACTACGACGACGACGTCGACGACGACGACGATGACGAAAACGGCGACGGCTGCTACTAATAGTAGTCTACCACTCGTAATGCTGACAGCATGAAGGATACCACAACGACTATAGCTAGATCATGACAGCCAAAGGTGGCATACTGCACGGTGCACGTTGCAGGAAGTTGTGCAAATGGCCAGAAGTAAGAGCGGAAGGATCAGCACCGATTGCCGTGCCTGTCCGATCAAATTGGCTTTTCTGAAATTGGCTCAGGGTTGTCAATTCCTCGCCCGATTGGATCTTTCTGTTCTCTCGGGATGGCGAAGATGTTTGAAGGGTTGTTTGGACCATGAGAACTGTACCGTTGCTCGGCATGTTGCAGGCCCTCCGCAACAAGGACCCCATTGGTGTTCCCAACGGATGGCCTGCCATTGTAGCTGCAGCCTATGCGCCACTTGCAGGAATGTCGAAGATGGAATTCAGGTGTTTGGTACTCAATAAATTGCAGCTAGAAGGCCAAATCAAGATCGACCAAGGAACGAGCTTGACAGTGTGCAGTGGCTCATCAATGCCAAGGCGGACAACTCGAGCTACTGTGTAGGATAGTGAGTAGGAGTGGCAGTGCAGCGGAGGCGACGCTGAACATAAAGAGCCGGTGTGTCGGGGCGGGGGTGGTCTGTACTTGGGCACGCATAATTTCGGCCTGTGACGACAACGGTTTGACCCAGAAAATGCATTCGAAAGCAGCCGTGCGACATACGAGCTTTCAGGCAGATGTGAATGCAATCACCTCCAGCAAGTCAAGCGCTCTTTGGCAGGCAGCAACTCGGCAGCAAAGAAGCCAAAGTTGTCAGCTGCGTGGAAATTGCATCCGCGCAACCGGTACTCTGAGGTCTCCAATCAGAATCCGCCGCCCGGCTCAGGAAGATTTTTAGGTGAACTCGGGGACAGCATGAGATCGTCATGCTGTGTCAGTAGCCGAGGCGCATGGTGCGGCCCCTCCTGGAGGCCCGTGCCGATCCGAACCACGTCAAGAAAAGTGCCAAGGGCGTCAGGCAGGATCCAGAATCCAGAGTTTGTGGTCGGTCAGCTTTGTTTGGAAGTGTTTAATGCAACACGTTTCACAGGCGAACCTGCCTCGACATGGCTCTCAACGATGATGCCCCGGCATCCATCATCAAGATGCTCCTCGTTGCAGAAAGCTTCGGCTTCCCTGCCACCTGGAAGAGGGCTCTGTGTGTGTGCGTGAGCGTTTGCTGATGTGTGTGTCTTTAGCACCCGGGGGTGAATGGCGGAATTGCGGAGGCTCGAGATTGCAGGTGGCCGACGTCATGTTGACCTGGACCGGACCTAGCAAGCAAAGCACCTTAAGCACGGCACGGAGGCTTTGTTCTGCAAGCGTAGCCTTGGTAGGATGCGGTGCGCTGCTACGACGCGCAAAAGGCAGTGTCTGAGGTGGGTGCATGGCGCTTGACAGGACAGAGGCGGTGGCGAGGTTGCCCTGGACCTCAAAGAGCACTTGGCTTTCGCATCCAGAGAAGATGAGGCGGCCCTCAAGCGGTGCACGGTGTGCATGAATGTCAATGGGGAGCCTTTGATATCTTTGATTTTGGCTGGGGTGACATTTTTTCTGTGGCAGGAGACGCGCCTGATAGGTTAAGTGGATCCTGTATTCGTCGCTGTTTTAATTGCCGCCCAACGTTGCCCCGTGAACGTCTGATTTGGAAAAGCGCGGAGGATCTCAGCTCACTCAGACCTGGCAAGCGACTTCGTTTGAACAAGTTGCTCAAAGAGGCGTGCGGTGTGGCATGATGCGCCCACCGGCAGTTCCCGAACAGATGCCTGTAACGTATACATCGGCAGGCAACGTCGTTTGCCGAGATGCTCTCGCGCATTGGCGACCGGGCGGAGGGTGAGGTGAAATCCGAACCGTCTTCCCCTTCCACACCTCCAGTGTCTTGGCTTTTCCTTGGCGGATCCTCGGTGCTTGAACAGGCATGATTGATGTCAGGATAAACCGGGCAGTGCCTATGCGGAGCGATCAGCATTTAAGCGGGCCTATGCGCGCAAGTTGCCTGGCGATTTGAGGGAGGCGGTCGCAAGCTAGAGCCGCTTTGATTCGAGTGTTTGACAACAGGCCTTTGGGTCCTGTTCTCCAAAGGATGTTGCCGCTCTGCGGCGAGAAGCCAGTACTGGACTTCTCGGCGTACAGGACGAGCGTGAAGGCAACTGAGCTTTGCCCGCAACCAGCTTTCAAGTGTATGAGTAGGAGGAGGACCAACACACGTTGTAAGGTGGATTGCAGCGATACTAGGCCAATTAGACCCAGGTTCTTTCTCCAGCGGCTAAGTAGTTGCCCGCCAGGCCAGTTTAGATCAGTGGTGAGAGCGTAGTAGGTTGTGTAGGGTACTGTGCACATGCTGGTAGTTCTTGAAGAAGATCTAGAATTACTCTGCATTATACGGATGCACTTTGGCACTCAAGACTTGGATAGCATTCACAAGAGTTGGATAGCATTCACAAGGTAATGTTGACACAGAGATGCAAAGAGTAAGTATTCAGAAGCAACTTTGCAATGGTACGCGAGGGATGTAGGAATAGTTCATCTCGTCATCATCAAGCAAAGCTACCACTGTTTGGTTGTACATGCAAGAATGATATCCTCATTTTCGGTCGCGCCTTTGACCAAGGGTGTCATAGAGCAAGTCGACATGGCAGTCCCAGGCTAATTTCGATTGTGACACTCTAGGTCCATATTCACCACAGCATACGACAGCACGAGTAGTACATGTTAAAGTTCGCTCAACCTCAGTAGTCACAAGACACACTAAGACCATGCTGTAGCAACCTGCCAGACCAGACATAAAAACCATGAGAAGCACCGAAACCTTAACGCCAGCCACAACGAGCCGTTTGAAACGTCAACTACAACGAGCCTTTTGAAACTCCGCCTGTGCCAAGGACCGACTAGAGCTTCCCTCTGAGCAACAGGTGCCGAAATCAGCTTTCGTGGGCTTGGCTGTTGAGGGAACCAGCGGGGCGAGAGTCGCGGCACCTGCACAGCCTAGAGCTCACGTGCTGTGCACGCAGAGATGGACAGTCTGTCGGGAATATGATGGAACATGGATGGGCGGGAGGGCACTTGCTTGCTATGTGTGCACTGCCCTTCAAGGCCTCAGAGCCGAAGCGGCGGATCTACGCTGGACTGGAGATTCCGCCAGTCAGGGGTTTGCCGCACCATGAGGCACGGGGTGTAGGTGGAACGGAAGAGAGACGTGGCCTTGGACTAGGCCAGGCCGAAATCGGAGACAGCACTTCGTAGTTTCTTTCGCATGGTGAGGCGGAGCGATGGCGGGCTGGAGTTGGCGGCAGCTTGCCGGCAGATCCTGCTGCTGAAGACAAGCCTGACTTGCTCAAGGCGCCTAGTCGGATCAGGGGTTTGGAGGGTTACCCCCTTTTCTTCTTGGAGGCATGCGCCAACAGTCAACCCACCTGAGAGAAAAATGCATTTTCTGTTTAACACATTGTTGTGTAACACACTCGTGTGTGTAGGTACAAGCTTTAGCGGTCGAGCCCCGAAGCATTCTGGGCTCGACCTTTTTCGACTTATCCCCCACTCTCCTTTCGCCTCTCAGTGCAGTCATGTCTTCGACTGGTGCCGCCGCTCCCGCCATCTTCGTCGACGAGGTCGTCGCCGACTTGGTGGCGCCACCTACATCGACTGCGGCGACTTCGGCACCGACTGGAGGCTTCGCCCACGCTGGGCGGGATTGGAGAAAGCGCCGGGCAGCCCACGACGGGCGCCCCGGCTGGGGATGTCGCCGGGTTGCCCTCGACGGGCGCCGCGGCTATGGTCGAGACCGCAGGTGCCGACGATGACGTGGCACCGCCTTTCATGGGCGTCCCGCCCTCCAGCGACGAGGAGGAAGAGTTGCTGGCGGACATCGTCGGGGCCCAGCCCTTCCCGGGCGCAGACGTCATCGACGGGGAGGCCCAGACGGAGCACATCGCGCCGATCATCGCCTTTGACGCCCACGATACGTCGCCGTCCAGACCGCCGGCGAGGTGATCTTCTCGTCCTTCGTGGGCGACACCACCCAGGAGGCTTTGGCGGCTGCTATCCGTGCCCTGTCACGTGACGATCGTCGTCGCCTCGTCGGGGCGCTTAGGCTGGCTGAGGAACAGCCCCTGGTCGATGTGGCGGGGGCCGGCGACCCCTCTTCCTCGACGGTGCCTACACTGGACCTCCTCGACCTCGCGCCGCCTATGACGACGACTGCGCCTGTGGGCGTCGTGGACCCGGGCCCCTCGCCGGCCACCGCCCGGACCTTCTGGGAGGAACAGGACGCCACAGCTGTGGCGGAGATGGCGGCCGCCAAGCCGGTCCCCGACGACGACCTTGACGCCGAGCCGCCGACGTCGCTGGAGATCTTCCTCGACGAGCAGGACGCGGCCTCCAAGGCTAAGGCGTCGTCTGGCACGCCCGCGTCAGGGGCGTCCTCTTCGACTACGCCGGGCTCCGGGCCCAAGGTGCCCTTCAAGAAGGCGCCTCCCCCGGCGCTGGTCATCGACGCGCCCAAGGAGACCTCGTCGACCCATCAAGTTTTTGGACGACACGCCGGCCCGGCCTCCGGTGAAGAAGGCCCCCGCCGGGGCGAAGGTCCCGCCACGATTTGACGACCAGGGCCGGGTCGTCGAGCAGAAGCCGGTGGGCCCCCCTCCGGTGACTCGGAGCCAGACGGTGCCAGTTGCGCCGACCGTGCCAGGTGCTTGCGGCCAGTCAATTACCCGCCGCTGCTGGGCCGACCTCACGAGCATCACGAATGCCAGCGCTGTGCGCCGCCCACACCGGCACAGCGATTCGCCTAGGGCGGGGCCGCCTCTTCAACGCCCGGGCCGTCTATTACATCCTCGCCTTCGTCCCTCATTTTGCGAGTTATTTCGATTCGTCTGGAGCCGCCGGAAAAAGTGTGAGTGCGTGTGACTGGCTGCCTCGCCTCGCCCCGCCTTTCCCCCCCTCCTGACCGACCCGATTCCGGGGTTCTTCGGCTCGAAGGTTCAAGCCTGTCGGCTTCCGGCTCAGAGGCTCGAGTGTCGCCACCATGGGCCCTCCCCAAAACTCCTTTGCTGAGCTCGTCGCGCTGGCCGAGAGGACCGGCCAGTCAGAGGCGCTCCCGTTGATCGCCCAGGCAGGGGCCCGCAACATCGCGGACCTCACGGCCCGAGCCGACCGCTGGGTGGCGGCGGGGGTCTCTCCGTTGGCCTTGGAGGCCACGCTGGCGGCACCGCCGCCCGCCAAAAAACCTCCACACTGGCGTTGGCTGGGGCCGGGCCTTCTCGCCCGGACCTGCCTGTCCGCCGGGATGCGGCACGCGCGTCGTTGGCGGCCGCGGTGGAGGCAGTTCGCCCGGCCAACGTCAAGCGAGCTGTCACGGAGCTACGTGACAACACGCTGAGACCCTACAAGTCCCGGCTGCGGACATGGAACCGCCTGGCCTTCGAGGGCAGAGTCCCCGCCTGGCCCATCACGACCCGCACTTTGGAGGTGATTGGGGCGGCACACCCAGGCGCTCCTCGCCGAGCTGGTGGCTGAGACTCGCCTGGGCAGGGTGACGGGACCCTGCGCACTGGTCTCTGGTCACCACCGCCCTCCCGTCGATGGCGGGGATGGGAGCCCTTCGCCAACCTCCGTCGGGGGACTGCTTCGCGGCCCTCTGCTTCGCCATTTGCCAGGTCGACGAGCACGGCGACCTCAAGCGCCGTCAGGGCGAGAACTGGCGCCGGTCCGGACACAACGCCACCATGGGAGCCGCCGATGTGCCCACCCACCACTTCCTGGGGGACATCGTCGACCTGGTTCTTCGGGCCTGGGCGGAAGGCTGGGACCCCGTGGTCTTTGGTCACGAAACGCCTATCGTCAGTGGGCGGTTCGGCATCCGGGGCACTGCGGCACCTTCCTCCCGACGGCCTCGGGCGTGACGCTCTGGTTCCACTTCGCCATGTGCTTCGGTGCGGCGGCGAGCGTCTGGAACTTTAATCGCGCGGCCGACGCCGTGCAGATGCTTTTACGGGCGCTTCTCCTGGTTCTCCTCGGCCACTTCGACGACGATTTGAACGGCGTGGACTCCTATGACACGGCCGAGTCCGCCCATCACGCCGTCGCCGACTTTTT